CTCTTCCTCCTCTCCACCTCCATCTTTTCCCTTCTTTTGAGCGAGGTCCTCCAAAGACATCTTTATTGCAATTTCCAATTCCCGTTCAAACCGCTCGTCCTCCGCCCTCCTGCGTGGTGTTGGCTCTTTTGCTTTTTGTGCAGGCTCGTCCCATTCTCTTCCAAGTTGTCGCGAAGCGGGAAGATTGTTTTCGACCAAATATTTTTTTGAGAGCGAAGCCGGGGTCTCGGGCTTTTCCTTTTCCTCCTGTTCAACCTCATCCGCCGATTCCCCATCTTCGTCTTCATCCATCCTGCCCTTAGCGTCCAGGACATCCTGCTCAAGCTGATGGTCGACTGAATACTGTCCATATGTCTCCTCGCAAGCATATTTATTAGCCTCCATAAACTTTGTCAACGGGAGAGCCCTCCTCTTGGGATCGGGGTTGAATTCTTCATCCTGGTCAAATTCGGCGCACTTTCTCTTGAGAGTCGGCCCACTATACTTGAACGGGGAGACGGAGGCGGGCCCAAGGGAAGTCTTTTCGTTTGGGGGACAGGAGGGGCCGGCTCCGCTGATAGGGAACGGGTCTATGGAAGGCCCACAAAAGCTTAGTCCCTTGGGTTGCGGGAGATTCTCGGGGTCGTATCCGGCCTCTTTCAAAAACATCTTGAGTCTCCAGATCTCGAACTCTTGCTTATCCATCTCCTTTGCGCGCCACAAGTCTATCTTTCTAAGCTCCTTGTTTTGACGCTTGAGAAACTTGATGCGCTCCTCCTTGTGGGCGTGTAACTTTTTGAGTTTCTTGACCGCCTTGGTAACAGCGGAGAATTCTTTAGGGAGTTCGGTTTTAGTGGCTTCAGACATGCTGTGGAGGTGGTCAGTCAGTCGAACATAAGATTAGAATGCGTGGAGGGGAGGGGGAGATTGAGTACATTTTTGTGCAGTACTTGGAAGTGGTTTGATAGTGAATCGGTGTTGTTGAGGCGTGATGGTTGTTTGCGAATCGTGATAGTTGTACTCGGGTGGTAGAAAAGATATGACTGAAAGATATCCTGTAGCTGATGATACAGACTGAGGAGTGTAGTTGAGGAAGAGAGGGGGATGGTGGTCGGGATAGGGATTATATACCCCCTCAGAGTGGAGATAATCCCATGTGTGCCATTCATTTGGGAGTGATGAGCGTGCCATTGAGCTCGCATCTTTGAGAAACAATTGGAATCGAGCAAACCATCTTGCTACCAGCCCACCTGTTAATTCCCCTGATAGCCTGAGTACAATGGCAAGCCATCCAAACACCTGCTACAAGCCATTATGAAAGCCTTGCAAGTGAATGGCTAATCCCCTTATGGGCTCACAGCATCGGTAGAGCCATTGATGAATGGTATCCACATCGTTCTCACCGCATTAGCAAGTGATTGCCATTGAGTCCAGTCACAAGCCCGGGGCTGCGGTTATCGCGGTCACAGCTCACCATTAACCCCGAAAGGAAAGGAAAATATGCAGGGTTAGGGTTGCTTTGAAAACTCTCCCAATGCTTTGAAGAAAAGCCCCGCTCAAGGGACTTCTTCCAACCCTCGCCTTTCCACGAAAGATCGGTATGATAGAAACGTCGGCACGTGGGTTCCACTTCGTTCCTGGGCATCCTGACGTGTAACACTCTTGTGCCATATCCTCCCGCACCCAAGACGTGATCCTCAGGGGCTGGGGATGGCTAGAGCATCCCCTCCTAGCTCCAAGATTTACACCGAGTGATAACTCATGATTCCTTACATAACACAAATGGGACCACCTACGATTTAGTGAGCCTTAACAATTACCATCCTATCATAGGGGTAGGTCCGGCGAGAACTCGCTTAAACTTGCACCCCTGGAAAGATTGGAGTGTGCGTTGTAATCTCATCTGGGCCATCCTTCCCACACTACCATGGGCTCGGAGAACTACAGAGTGGGGAAATCTGTGGCCAATATCCGGCTTTGTGGGGTTAGGCCGGTATGCACGGTTAAGTTCGGGGGGGGGGGCGAGAGCGTCCTTGTGGGTTCGCATTTCATTGACACGGATTATCACTTGTTGTGAATCTTAGAGCTTGGTGGGGGCTCTGGAGATCCCTAGTACAGTAGCTGGGAATCGTGTCTTGAGTGTGAGATGGCATGGCACAATAGTGTCGCACGTCAGGGTGCCCAGGAATGCCCACGTGCAGACGTTTCTACAGGTCTTTTCGGGAAAGGGGAGAGCTGGGATATATCTGCGGCGATTCCCCCCTAGGCGTAAACCTTCGACAACACCCCGTGGCGTCTCGTCTTAAATATTTCCTTTCTAGTCTAAAATCTTTGTAGAGCACTTCGGGTTTATGCCTGTTTTTCTCCTATTCTTCTATCATACAGCAGGGCACCCGGTCTGCTGGGGGAAGGGTTTTTCTTCAAAGTAGTATGATATGGTGCTCCTCATGGTAAACAAACAATGTGTTTCATGGGACCAAGGAAGAAAAAGAAATTACGAGTAAATAACCTTATAAAAATTGCGTTTTGTTTTCTACTTGTTCTTGTCAGAATAATTATCCAAGATAAAGATAAAAATTTAATTAAAAATAATTTCAGAAAATGGAAATACTTGGGGTTTGTGTCTAAGAATGTTTACGCCTCAAGCTAATGAGGTATAATACTTGAAAATCAGCCATACATATTGGTGTTCTACTCATCCAATCTTGTATGACTTATCTACCACTCCCTAATGTCTAACTTGAAAGATTTTCTTCCACAAACACTGTTATGTTATAAGTATAACTGAGTTGATTGTTAAGGCCTACAGCAATGGTATTCAATTAACTATAGAGTTACTAAATACAGAGCAAGCAGAATAACATTAAGCCATGGAGATACTTTTGTCAAATAACTGATTCTTTTTGAACCTGTATCTTTGGAATAGAGGAAACTGAAAAAGGGACTAATTATATTGAGTACTCTATCTTTCCTCACTATATCTTCCATACTCTTTCATTAAGATTGTTATATTGTACCTTTCTTGTACAAGGTTTTATTAGAACTTCTTCCAATAATTCTTTATATAATACCAAGATTCATAGCAAATCACTTGGGTTGTTAACCAGCTTCTCTAAATACATGTCTCATTGACCCACTTTTTTGATCCATTTTGAAAAACTTAATACTACTTCAGGAACATAAAATATCAAAAATTTATCTCATAGACACTATAGCAACACATCACCCGAAGATATACTGCCTATATAATCAAAAGTAAAAGAGTTGATTGTTGAATTCAGTATAAACTTCTTCCCAGTCCAATTTTTTTGTCCAATTTTTCACCAGTTTATCATGGATAACACTATAAATGGTTTTCAAAGCAACCTCAACCATGGATATTTTTTATTTTCTTCCAGGGTTGGTAATGAGTTGTGACTGTGGTAGCAATAGTATAGAACCTGTATGATGATTGGGCTCAATGGCAATCACTTGCTATTGTGTTTGCTTTACTATTGTAAAGATTTTTATGTGATGTTTCGCCATTGGAAATTGTTCTGTTATGGATGCTTGGAAGCGGAATGGTTGGTGCCCTTCATGTTTGCCAAACGGCCAAACGGCCATTCCAATTCTCCCGTTTTGAAATGGAAGGGAAACGGTCATTTGTATGGGACAACGGAACGGAACCGTCGCAACCAAACGGGCCCTAATGCGGTAACGGTGACACGGATACCATTCACCAATGGCCCCACTGATGCCGTGAACCCGGAACGGGGGAGGGGGGGGGGGCAGCCATTCATTTACAAGGCTGGCATAATGGCTAGTAATAGGTGTTTTTCATTTCTGTCATTCACCAGGGGCTAGTTTTTGCTAGAATTCTGACTCCATTCATCTACAATACCTTTCGGATTTCGGCGGTTCCAGGGCACTCCACAATATTCGGTTTCGATACTCTATCAATTTTCTCATCCAGACAACTCTCTGATACCCCCCCGTAAGCAACCCAAAAAACCAATTGCGAACATAAACCTAACCGGCAGACCCAACATCAGCTACCTATACCATGGATGAACGGAAAATAGAACCCAATCTCCTCTCCCTTCACTCCGAAATCCACCAAACGGCAAACGCCCTCCAAACCGACAACACCTCCTCAATAATAACGGTGGGCATGGAGCTCGAATTCCTCATAACAAAAATCCCGCGCTCCCCCCTCCTCCCGCCCAAGCCTTCCATCTTCGAAGCCATCCGCACGAGCATGCAGAACCTCTTCCACTCAGGCGGTATAAGCATCCAAACCGAAATCTTCCCTCAGCGGCCGAACGACCAGCCGGACCGAAGCAAATTCCAGTTAATGGAGGAGAAGAGTTGCGACCCCTTCTACATCGACGAGGCCACGGGGGGAAAGGTGCCGGGCGAGGTGGTGGAGATATGCACGCCAATAATGAGGTTCAGGAGTTGGGAGTGGGTGATACCAACTGTGTTTGAGCATCTGACAGGCCAATTCGACTGCCGGTTCAACACAACTACGGGCCTGCACGTGCACATCGGGCGCGGGTGCGGGTGGGATCTCAGTGCCGCAAAATCCATCGCGAAAGCGGTAATTATCTTTGAGTCCGCGCTGGACCACTACCACCCAGCGCACCGCCGCCCCGCGAGGAATTGGTGCATTCATTCGAACAGAAACAATGACAGTCTCAAGCACTTTACGAAGTCCGCAGTGATAAAGAAGTTGGATGGCGCGGATACGCTACGGAAGCTAATCAACCTGATTAGCCCGCACAAGTTTTTTAAATACAACTTCGGTTCGCTGAAGACGTATGGCACTGTGGAGTTCAGACAGGCGGATGCGGGAATCAGCGTGGATCGAGCGGTCCAGTGGATCAATCTGGTTGTGCGCTTTGTCATGGCGGCCGTGGAGACTACCCCTGAAGAGTTTGAACGCTGGGCCAGGCATGAGTGCCCCGCTGCTTGCTGTCCTCCCGAGGTTTTTGAGAGGTTTGGTGTCCCGTGGGTGGACATGCGGGAGCAGGTTTCGCATTTCCCGAAAGTGGAGGGTCTTGCTTTGGGGGGGGATGAGTGGGGGTTGGTTCCCCGGCGGGAAAGGGGGACTGTCGAGGAGTGGGGCCCCGAGATTTCTCAAACGGTACAGGAGCCAGTGGATCCTTGTGCTAGGTGGGAGGTAAAGGAGGGTTCGTCAAGGGATAGTGTTGAGGTTGGAGTTGAGGAAGGGCCCAAACCTCCTGAGGACGGCCCCATCGAAGTCACACATTCGACGATAGAGGACGCTAGTCGTTATCTTCTATCGCATGCCAATTGGGTTGAGACAGGCCTAGGATTGTGAAGCGGGGGACTGACTTACTAAAAGTTTGACCTAGTCTATGTTTCTCTGATAGCAGAATTGTGGGAAAAATTTCGCTTTTTATTTCCCCCATCCACAAAGCTCTACAAAATTCCCCTTCAACTACTTCTTATTCCCCCACAGCTTCTTTCCACTTTCTAGAACATAAACAACAATTTGTTTCTCTGAGGATTATACGCCGCATGCCCGTGTATTCTGTCAGATAAAGTTGGTTGCTATAGGTGATGGTCGTTGGAGTTGTTGGAGTGAATAGATTGATCAATTCAAATCTCTTTGCAGATCTAATAAACCCTAATACAACTGTGAGATAACCTGTGCTATGGTAGAATTAAGAAAAGTGGAACACATGCTTAAGCTAAGGAAAGGGTATGTAGGAGGACCCGAGTAGTATCCTTCAATATAAGTATACTATCCTAGTCGCAAGTGGTGTCCATAATTTTCTTAGTAAGGATTTCTAGTCTCGAAACACATTCCTCCTGACTCCCCTCTCCCCCTCCTTACCTCCTAGGTATCGTGTGTCTATACTCTAGGCTTTACGACTACCAAGTCTCTAAAAAGGCTCTCTAGCTAAAGTACCCCGGCAGCATAAATTCTATCTTCTTCACCACCTCTGCCTTTCTTCCCGCTGGAGCGGTACAACACGCCCACTTCGACAAACCCTCCAAGTGCTTTGCGCCCACAAGATCCTGATGCTCCTCCTTTGCCAATTCCTTGAGTATTGCAGCGGCAAGGTGCTTTGCATTGGCACCGTTGGCGTGCATGTTACCCATAACTGTTTCGACAGTTACAGCTGCTTCATTGGTTTCTTATCAAAATATCATTAGTACCGGATGTGAGGGACAGGAAAGGGGGATATACTCCAGCAGTCATAATCGGTAGACATGCAAACCATAACATACGCGATTTCAGCTTCCTTCGCAAGTTTTGCCTCTGGGAGAGCAGACATATTAATGACGTCCCCACCCCAGGACCTATACAGATTGCTTTCCGCGCGGGTGCTGAATTGTGGGCCCTCTAATTACTTCTCCTTAGCTGTTAAAATCCCGCCATACCGTCCCACAACTCCCGGAGGAGACCATACCCATACAAATCAACAGCGCATCCTTATGCATCTTCACCCCCTCCCCATTCAGCACCCCGTCGCTCCCAATGTCAAACACAACCTTAGACAGCTCCGAATCAAATGGATCCGCGAAGCCCACATGACCTACCAACCCACCCTCAAAAAATGTGCTCGCCCTAAGTCCCTTCGTCCGGTCAATGATTTGCGAGGGGACGACAAAGTCCCGAGGACGAATGTGTTCTTGCAAGCTGCCGACAGCAGAGAAAGCGATGATGGAGCGAACGCCGATGGATCGGAGAGCGGCGATGTTGGCACGGTTGGGGATTTCCGTCGGGGTGAGTTCGTGGTGGAGGCCGTGACGCGAGAGGAATGCTATTGGGGTGTTTTGTGGCGTTTTGAGGATCGTGAGGGGGCTACCGGGGGCGCCGTAGGGTGTTTGAATATCGAGGCTCGCAACAGCCTAAGGTGGGGTGTTAGCTCTGGCTAAGGTGAATTTTGAGGACGAGAAATTGGAATTTCAGTACTGTAAATCCTTCAGCTTCTAAAGCCGAAATTCCAGTCCCCCCAATCACCGCAATGCGTACGGACTCTTTTTCCAAACTTGTTAACAATACTTCCCCGAAACAAGGAAGGAAGCGCGCGAACCGGAAAAAGTATCTGGCAATGGCATCCTAGCGTAACTATAGGGCGATCTAATCCTCGAGAAATATTCGCAAAGCCGATAGTAGGGGTAGAGGCGGCGATCGAGATAGGCCCTTTTGAAAGTACCTTGTAAAAATAAGGAAAAGGAATTTACCTCGGGGTGGAGAGGGGGGGAGATGGGGGACCCCGCACTAGCTTTATTGATAAAGGGGTCCGGCAGAACACGGTACTTGTAGAGTGAAGGGGCCGGGGTGTTGGTGGTGGTGGTATCGGTAGTGTGGTTACCCTCCTTTGGGGTGCTGATCATTTCTCCTGGTTTCTCCCCTATTCAAATGCGGACATCTATTGAGCTGCTGATGGGTGATAACACAATCCGTGCGGAAACTCGCATGCTCGGGCCACCCAATGCGACCTGATTCTTTCCCCCTCCCAGAGAAAAGTGTGGGATATATCGAGGCAGAAGTGTTCGAGCCCAATACACACAATTTCGACTAAGCGCCGCACGGGGGTATCATGTGCGGGTACGGGAATTTTCTGGTCGCCTAGGCTCCGCCCCTCCCCCCCGGACTCCCCTGGAAACTTAGTAGGAATCGTCGGATTGGACTCCTTCGTGTTATGAGAACAGTGTTATGAGAACAGACAAGTTGAAAGGATGATCCACTGACCAATCCGAAGGAAAGTGGAAATCAATAATTTTGAAGGAAGGAAAAGCAACCAGACCCTATTTAAGGAAGCAGACTATGATTGCGAGTCCGCGCACAGGCAAGGAAAGCCGTCTATCGGCTTGTGCAGTAGTGCATAGTACTTAGCTCACAGGTTACAAATTCCCAGACCAGGGAATCGCCACGCAGTATATAGGCTGACACTGATATGAGACAACAGAAATACAAATAAATCAATCCACTAGCAAACCCACCTCCTGATATTAATTGTGCGCCTTCCAAAGTTGCAATTTTTTTGTTTTTTTCAGATGTGTTGAGTTAGGGTCGAGTGATTCCCGGTGAAAGTCACCATCGCCGGAGATGGGTGAGAAGGTGGGGCGGGGGTTGTAGCAATGATGGCGAAGACCTTCAGTGACCGAACACCTACCCTCTGTTCCACTAAGTATTCATGTTATTTGGATGGGTCGTGTAACACGGTTCGTGCGCTGATATCGCAGTAGGTGTAATTTCGCCTGGTCGCCTGTAGGGTGCTAAACTATCACTGAAGGATTCTCTCAGACACAGAACCTTAAGACTTCAATCATAGCACCATCCCACATTGAATCTCTAGTTATTTCAGTATTGTGCAAGAAGGTATCATACACACAGCCCCTTTTATGCGAAACGTCAATATTATCATAGCTTCCTAAAGAAAAAAACATCTAATAATTCAACGATAGACACTGGCCCACAGCCATAATATCACCTTAATTACCAGGAGAACATATAAGTCACAACAACTCAGCCTCCCACCTGCCTCTACTACCATAATGGTTAATTTTCCCAAAGAAGGGAGGGGTAATTGTATGATACTAGGGTTGGCGAAAATGGTGCAATACCATATACAATGCAACCCTGCCTACTGCAACGCCTGTAAAATCCAGAAGAGCACCTATGATACCATATTTCTTGTCCAAAAATATTTAAAATTCAAACAACTTTAAGCCTTAAAATTCAATATGGGGGCGAAGGGAATTCACAGCAATAACTAATTAAAATCAATTCGACAAATGCGAAAAACCGGAGGTAGACTCTAACAGTGAGGTGATATTTAACCTCATGTTGATACCTTGTATCGAAATGCACTGCAATGTTGTTGCGCTATTATTATGGTCCACCCTCTAGTACGATCAGTGCTTTTGGCGGATCATGCGGGAGTATTTTTTGAGGGTGTTTACCTTTCATCTGGTACTTCAGCTATTGTTTCTCTGTATTTCTTAAATGGACCCGAACACGCAGAGGCTTCCAACAGGGGCGATAAATTGGCGACAGTACTAGCACGGCCGAGTTGAAGCTGGACGCTTTGTATTTAATATTAAATTATCCTAGTACTACCTAAGTTATCCGGTTTCACTACCAAAGCACAAAACACCCGTAAACTTTGTGTGGGAATTGCTGCCCGAGGTGTCCAACTTCAACCCGGCCGCGCGAGTACAGTTCAGTTCAAGAGGATTGATGGTATTGAGAAATAATTAGCAGGGCTCAAGTGTCAATTCAGGAGACGAGTGGAAACCGAAGCAAGCTAAAAATAATAATTAAAAAATCATAATCAGTATAACCTAAAACAAGGATTGTTAGAACTAGCACCAAACCATCCATATTTGAAATTTTTGGAGGATATAAAATGACCCCCACTGACAGCTGCTTGCGAAGCAATTAAATAACTTACTCTCGGTTGTGTTCTATCATATATCACACGAATACTACCCTTTAGCGACATTGAATATATGCCACAGCCAGTTCAAATACAAACCCGCCAACTATATACTAGGAACACATTCGTTTACTCGGACCTCCAACCTTTGTTACCTCTGCAGAACCCCCACCTCCAGTCCTGCCCCCGCTTCGCCCCCTACGCCCTTTACCTCTCGCACTACCATTACTATGACCGCCGCCCGTACCTTCACCTGCAATGCCACCAACACTTCCTCCCCTTTGGCCATCCCCTGGGTCGCCCCCACCTCCGCCTCTGCCGTTAGACTTCATACTCCCGCGCCGTACCGGTCCCTCTGGAGCTACCGCTGTCTCAAGCCTCACTCGTTCGCATTCTGCATCCCACCATCTCATGAATTCTTGCTCTTCTTGGATCTCTTGTAAACTTCGTTTCGCGGTGTGCTCGCGGAAGACTTCCTTATGGGCCTCTTCCTGAGAGATGATGTCTGCAAGTGAAAGTTTGGGTGTTGGGTCTATGGGGGTCGTAGATACTGACCTTCGGAGCAATGCAGGCTGCGGGGGAGTGGTGGGGGTTGCTGTCTTTAGCCGTGGACGGTATGTGCCCGGGATTGGTGGTGAAGAGCGTGTGGTTTGGGCTGTTGGTGTGGTAGGTGGAACTGCCGATGGGGTTGTTGTCGACATCATTCGGTTGAAGGCCCGCCCGCCACCGTCTCCGGTTCTCTGTTTTAGCATCTGGGGCGTCGGCATGTTAGGTGGCGCAGGTGCCGAAATTTCGCTGTCTAGGACCTCTTTAAGACTAACTCGCGCACTGGTACTCGCAGTTGCCCATGCGGGCTTCGCAGAGCTTGTGCTCGGGGTTTCAATCTCAGTAGAAACGGCTAACTCTGAAGACGCAGCTGCAACAAGTGCTGCCTGTCGCTTTCGCTCCTTTTGCGATAACTTGGCGGGAGCGAGCTTTCCTTCAGAAGACAGGCCGGTCGACAAATTAGATTTCCTGGATGAAGATGCTTGTTTCATTATCTCCTTCATGTCTAGTTTCTTGTCTCCCAACAATATCGGAGAAGCTCCCCATGGTTTGGATGGTGTAGTCGGGATTTTGGTCGGAGTAGGCAATTCATGCGAACGAGGCGAACCACCGGCTAGAAGTTGTAAATCCGGATTGGATGAGGGGGTACCAATGCTTTTACCCTTTACATCCACCCAGCCACCTGATGCTCTTGGGATACTAGAGGCTGGACTAGGATACCATCCTGTTCGGGTGGCTTTGGACGGGGTCCCTGGAGAAGCCCACGCATTTCGAAGCCCTGTTTCCTCAGCCTTGGCTACCTCGAGAGCAAAACCAATTCCCGAGCCCTCCCCATCCATATCAAAGATCATTTCCCCACCTGCATGTGGCTCAGTAGTTGGGCTGGCCCCTATTCTAATAGACTCCTTGCTCGCTTTTATTTTCGCCTTCTGCGCGTGAGGAGATCCGAAAGGTGTCAGGGTCCCGGCATAACTTCCTACTCGGCTGTTCTTGAACGAAGTAGAAATAGTGGCAGTATCATTTCCTTCCGGTAAATACGATGCAATCAGGGCTTCCTTTTCCTTGGCTGCTATCTCATGCATATCAGGATATATCCCTCGAAGTAGCTCCTCTTGAACTCCGGTTCGGGAGTGTGGGAAAAGCTGCCGCTGAACAGACTTCACGACACCATCTAGATCCATCATGAGATCGGCATCTAATTCGTCGAGGAGGCTGGGACAATTTAGCCAAGGTATAGTAAGGCAGAACACCGATCACTTACTGATTCTCGAGCATAGTCTCCATATTTAAGCAGATGTATTGCATACACATATCCTTGAAACCATTCTCCGAACAGCCGGCCAAAGCCGTCAACATATACGCAGCGTTCCTCGTGTTGACTATTGCCAGCGCAGAAATCAGAGTCATGCCATGAATAAACTGGATGGCTAAGGAACTGCTTACCGTAGCGCCCTAGGATCTTTTGACATACTTGGCACAGCCTGCCCAGTATCAGCTCGTTCGCAACACTTAATACCTCCAAGACAAAGTCTATGAATTCTTCAACCTTTCCACTCTCCTTCCCAACCTTGACACCATCAAAGCCTTCGACACCCCAGTCCGAGTACAGCCAATTGACCACCATGTCCATGACGGGTTTCGATATATGCTTCATATCAACCTTGACGATGCCTTGCTCGCGCCTCTGGATAAGCCACCGCCCGCTGCTACCGTATAGAGCTTTAAAAAACGGACAGCGAGCTTTCATGATGACTGAATGGGCCAACATACTTTCCCCATTTGCAAGTTCAATCATCATATCTGCCGATTCTTCGAATTTCGAGCGCGAAGGACCTAATAGGGCATTCGAAAAATCCCTATTCATGGAACAGGAAGGATGAGGAGCTACTTCTAGGGCCTTTGCGAGGTGATCGAGACCAATCAGGGAGGAAATCGATGAAAGCTCAGACCGGATAACTCTATAGTGTTGCATTCTAGAATGGTGAATGTTGTTCTGATTCCAAATATCAACAAGGGAATCAGCGTAGACGTAGTACAATAGAATCAGTAGTGTCTGTAATTTGATGTCTTTGAAAACTAATCGCGCTTTCTCCTCGGGAGTGGTTGACGGGGTGAATTCACCTACATCGCTAGCACACTGAGCCCCCTCAACAAAGAGGTTTCTCAGAACCGGCGATCTTGCAGCGAGGAAGACCTTGTGAGCTGGGATATTAATCTCCGGGCAATTTGAAGTCGACACCAAGACATCGCAGTCCTCTGATCCGGATAATTCTGGATAAGAAAGGTACTCGCGAAGTTCCGATTTCAAAGAGGAACTCATGAACCATTTGACAGCCGTAACATATCCCTCTGGTGTCCGTGGAGGTGTGCGGGTCTGGATCTTGTCCTTGCTATCGTCCGGTTGCTTGCGATTACCGAATGCGCCAGTGAAAGGTAGGAGAGGCCCAAGATCTTTCCAGAGCATGTGATCGTCAACCAGTAATCCGGTCTTCATGACATTGGGATCCCTTCGGATGGCGGCGTATGCTCCAAAATTGTTGCTTCTAATAACAACAATTTTGGTCAACCCAGGCACCCGCTCGAATTTGTACCGGCTGCCTTCGATTCCAAGAGCACGGTTTTCCTTCCTCTTCACTCGTTCGACCCTTCTCCAAACACTTCCATTTTTTGTGCACAAAATGATAGATCCATCATGACCAACATCTACATCTCTAGCAGCCATATGTTCCTTCTTCAAACTCCAAGCTCTTACTGTTGTAATCTTGCCGGTTCTTGGACCCTTCCCAGCGCTTTCTCTCACGAACGACCCGGCATCGAGAGTGAAAATATCACCCGAAACACTGAGTACACATAGTGTATCGCCCCCACCAGTAATTTTGCTCAGGGAATGGCCCCCGCTGTGCTTCGAAAATTGGGATACGGGGCTCCGATACAATCCTCTTTGGAAAGGAAGTTTCAATTTATAATATCCGAAGTTGGCTAAAATCCAGACCTCCTCATTATTAAGAAGTACTGCTGTAGCTTTGTCGATAGCAGCAACATCGCATATTTTGGACGACACAGTCAAAAACGTAGCAGCCACTTTGCGAGGTGTTGTTTGTGATGCCAGCGTTCTTGTGTCTAAAGAGTCAAGAATCCCCAGTTGGCCATCGTTCTTGCCAAACGTGAACAGAGAATTATCAGTAACCAGAGCAGTGTGAATTCTCGATGCTGCGCAACCAATGACCCTCTCCCGTTTCAAAGGTCCGAAAACCTGCCGTGGAGTCGTCTGGATAGGTTCGTCCTGTGGAGTCTTCCGCTGAATGATGTACCCAAGCTGCCCCCAGGTGTTGGATCCCCATGTCCAAACGTCACCTTCATCGAAAACAACGACAGTGTGATCGAGCCCCAAAGCTACTCCAATAACTCTCCGCTTTGGAAAAAGCGGCGACGCCAACGGGCGAAGTGTGAACTGGGTTTGTTCGTCTCCAAATCCCAATCGCCCTCCCCGACCAAACCCACAGACATAAAGGTTACTACTCAAGTCGCTGGTTAAAACAGCAGTATGAAGCTTAGACAGTTGAACATCCAAAATACGTAACGGGGCAAACAATGTTGTGGAACCGAGTAGTTCTTTGATATCTCCGTCGGTATTATGGAATCTGTCCTTAACCAGTTGTAGAAGCTGCTTCTCGCTTCTTTGGATCGGCACTCGCTCGGGGTAGGAGCGGTCATCTCCATCCGGAAAGCCCAAGGTTAAGTTCTTGTTAGATCCGAAGGCAAAAATCTCGTCGCCACCTTCATCGTCAGAATGAGAAGCTTCCCGCCCTTGCCGGCCCGGTAAGATTTCATCCTCGCCTTCTATGTTGTCTGAACGAGGGACACTTTTGCTTTTTCGTAAAAACAGCTTTTCAATTCCATGAACTGAAGCCTCAAACACCTCAAATGGACTGTCTCCAGCATGATCCTTAACCTTCACAGTGGATAAGTTATTCGAAAGAATAGCTCTGGCAGCAGATATATTCCCGTGGTAAAGTGCACGGTGTAACGCAGTCCATCCCGATTCCAAGTCCTGTATGCACGGGTCGGTGAGTGGATGTGTCAGTAATGCTTCCACAAACGGGAGACCACCGCTGTCGGAGGTGCTACAGGCCAAGTGCAAAATAGTCCTCCCAAAAGTATCCAATTCTTTCAGTGACTGTTTCGTAATAACGATGTTCGTCGGTGGGGATCCTGGTCTGGGTTTTCCATCGCTAGATGGTTGGTGCTGTTTTGACAGAGCGGGAGAGTTTGTCGTTAACCCCGTTGCTGAAGATCCGCTGGCGCCACGGGAATACGAGCTCGAAGCCGAGCCCGCCAGAAGACGCTGAAACTTTCCAACGTCATTCTCGAGATAGTAGCGCCAAAGATAATTGCTCATATGCTGGTGAGAGAGGACTCTCCTATCGCTCAATCCACCTACCACCACAGGAGTGAGGTGAAGAGCGAGAGAAGAAGTGTGGTTGGATCGAGAGACTTTCCCAATCCGGATATCCGAGCTGGAGGCTGAAGGCGCTAGCTAGTGGAGCTCTAGAAATCTTCGGGGCGGTCGATTGACTGGATTCCGTGGGGCTGGTGGTGATTGTGAGGATAAGAGAGGAGGAGGGGTAAATTCAGATAAAACTCCGAAGTTCAGGAATGTAAGGGAGGAATAATACGCGTAGGGTGGCGTAATCCAAGAATAGTGCAATGGTCCCTAGTACTGGTACGAGTGGGATATAGAAATGGCAACGATAAATTTAATCGTTTCCCGCAAAGGCAGTCTATGTTTAACGAGAGATGATTGGACGAACAGAAGGTTTCTGCACCAACACTCGGCGAGGGAAGAGCGATTCGCTATCTCTAGGTAACATCAATACCTTACATTCACTCTACAGCTATCATACTCGAGTAGACTAAGCTGTGGCTTGTACATGCTCTTTCCATAATTCAACACAGGTGTGGTAATCCCTAAAAATCCTACTCTACTTGTAACATACTGTAATATTGTAAAAGGAGGCTCAAATATGAAATTTCCAAATCGAGAACGTCCTATTGGTCTGTGTACGAGTACTGTACCGGTAAATTTATCTAGAGTCCAGACCAACTGAAGCAACCTCGCCAACAGCCAGCTATTTACGATTAGGTTTCTGACCTCGCCAGCACCGAGACCCTTACCTTCGCAAAAAAAACGTGACTGCGAGCCTTTCAATTTTGGCCGACAGATCCAAATCTTGGCGTCTCCTCAAGAGGAGTATAAGGCTCTGTTTGGCGGGAACGGAACCGTTCAGGAACGGTCCATTTCAAAATGGTTGCAACAGGTGAAATGGAGCACTTCTGTTTCGAAACGGTTTCTCTTACCTTCAATTGAGAATTTTTTTTAACCCCTGGCAACACTCTATAGGGCAGAGTAATTTTGAATACCATACCCTAATAAATCTGCTTTTTTCTTTTTCTTGTAAACTAATGAAATAAATTCTATATTATGTGCAAATCTCTCAGTCTCCTGTACAAAAAAAACTATCTTATCTTAACATTCGTGAAAACTTCTCCCTTCTCTAAAGAGGTTTCAACTTATTCACAGATACCAAGATGGACGAGCATTCTCCTCAATACCAGTGTGTTACCACTTTCACCATACTTATCATAATTGTTTACTAATTTAAAATAGTAGTTCACCTTTGAATACACAAACCTTGATCGATAAGACTCAATCAATACAGTTAGACTCGGATACTACTGCAAGTCAAAATACTGCATGTATACTACCAAGTGGGCATCAACCTGAGTGTTCTAACCACTCCTGCGAGATTGAAGGTAAGTTAAATATCACTATAGTTACTATGATAAGTTCTAACTTTTTTTTCAGAAAATTTATCCGAAATTCGTGTTCTAGACCCCTGTGAAGTACCTTCCTCCTTTACGGGAAGCAAGCAGAAAACCCGCAAGCCTCGCCGGCGTCCAGTTGAATGGTCTCCTGAAATGACATCTGTGTTGTTGCGAGAACTAGTTCAAGCTATTAGGACTGGAAAACGATCTGATAATGGGCTAAAGATGGAAGTTTGGGATGAGATTGCTGAGACAGTTCTTCTAATTGCTGGACCTGGGGCTCCTGTAACAGGTGAGAGATGTTAAGGCAAATTAGAGACCTTGAAGAAAAAATGGAAGATGTGGACCAGGTTGAAAGATTTGAGTGGTTTTGGGGTTGATCTTAAGACTGGTGCGGTTACTGCACCAGATGAAGTATGGGAGGAAGAAATAAAAAAACAGCCTGGAATACGAGAGTTTCGTGACAAACCACTTGCAAATGCAATTGAGTTGGCGGAAATCATAGAGGGAGTTCAAGCAACAGGTGGTCATGCAATCTATCCTGGCCATACAAAATTACAACAAATCACAATTCCTTTGCCCCTTAGGTTAGATCTAGCAACTCAGGCTGATCCAGAGCAGACCAGCCCCGATACAAGTCCTCATCAACATAAGCGGAGAAGGCTAGCACCACTGGGACATATTCGACAACCTCCAAGGAGTGTTTCTGAACGGCTGATCACTGCTGTTGAAGGGATGGCCACTACACCAATTACTATTGCAGCATCCCAATCAGTTGTTCAGCAAGCTGTATCAATGCTTCAACAAAAGTATAAAGGAAGACCAGGGTGGTCAACACAAGATATTGTTACTGGATATGAGCTTTTTGAGAACCCAGTTAAGGCAGAAGTGTTTTTAGCATTAGAGGAAGGTGAAGATCAGGAGCTTTGGTTAAGAGGTCAAATAGTACGTTACAAGGCCTAGGAATTCTACAGCAGTTAGTCTACTGTGACTGGTTTTGGTATTGTACATAATCAAGCCACATTTGTGTTGCACGTTTGTCTCGATCTTGTTTCATCTCTCCCATATCTTGTGCATCTCTAACATTTCCTTCATCCTCCTCCTCATAACTTGGATTTGATTCCTCAGAGTGATTGATGTTTTCCAAGGATGAATCAGCATCCTGGTAAAATTGATCCTCCTCTCCATTTGCCCGGTGTCGAATAAAGTTATGTAATGCACAAACTACCAATATAAGTTGAGCTTGTGTGGTAAGGTCAAACTCTGGAGCTGTATTGAGAATTTGAAACCTCTTCCATAAAACTCCAAAGATACGTTCAATAACATTTCGTAACTGAGCATGACGTAGGTTGAAAAGCTCTTCCTTAGTTCGTGGACGTAAATGAGCTTGTGCTTACTCCCGCAGATGATATCGTACGGTACGGTATGGTGTTAAAAACCCAGGACGAAGACCATATCCTGCATCTGCAAGATAAACTGTATTTTCATGTCTTGGAAATCCATGAATCACAGCATTTTCTAATACTCGAGCATCATTGGCTGAACCCTCCCAGCCTGAACATACATAGAAAAAGTACATATCCAAGCTGCATCCAGCAAGAACATTTTGCGAGAGGGTACCTTTCCGGTTACGATAGGGACCCTACTGGTTTCATGGGACATGGGCCAAAATGTGTGTTCCATCGATTGCTCCATGAACATCCTTAAAATTGGACATCTTTCCCCAATTTTTCCGTATTTTTGCAGGAATATTGTTTGGTGGAAGATGTACAAATGCTTCATACAGAGGCAGGAGAGCCTTTAGAACTTGATAAAAATAACTGTAAAATAATTAGAATAATAAACATTTCATATATAAATATTATAGTGCAATTAATACTAACCGTGAAATTGTTTCTCCACTATGCTGAAAGTGTTTCTGAGCTTCACTATTTGTAGCTCCATGTCCAATAATCCATAAAAACAATACAAGTTGTTCTTCCACAGCTACTTGATGTGTAGACACCAGTAATCCCCTCTCAATTACCCAGTCTCGAAGGTCTAACAATGTTGTAATTGGCATACGAATAACCTCTAGAGCACGACGAGGATGTGCTTGCAGGATTTCAGCAGTATAAATCATTCCAGTTCGAATAGATGTATGAACAGGTTCTTTAGAGAGGAATAGATGAGAATAGAGAGCAGAGGTAATTGCGATATGAATCCGTCTTTGAATTATGGCTGTATGAATTGTGCTCATATTGGGGTGAGATGCCATCTTGGAGGTGTATGAGTTGTTTTCGGAGGTGCCAGTGGAAAATATGATGTATAGGGAATAATCTGGTTATTATTTTTAATTAAGATGTCTTTATACATTACAAAATTTTTTTAATACAAAACTAGCCTAAGTGGGGGACCAGCTACTGTTGCAAACCTGGTTGCCAAGATCCACTTTGGAACGGAACGGTTCTTGTTTTTCTACATTACCAAACACTGGATTTACTCCAACCGTTTTGAAACGGAAGGAAACGGTCGTTTGTATGGGGGAACGGACCAGTTCCGTTCCCGCCAAACAGAGCCTAAAAAAGTCTCTCCCCCCCTCCCCTCTTCTCTCGCCATGCGATTTTACTTCATAGGATCATTTCTATAGTAAATCGTCTTATCTGAAACTCTAACCAGAGCCACAGATTCTCCAACCTGGGGGATGACGATTATCTCCTCGAGACCCAAGAGTGAAGCCCTTTTACCTCTGCTTCGGTGGCGGTGGTGATGATCTCGACCCAAATTGCCATTTTCTCTTCGAAGTGGGCAATGAGGGTGGGCCTCGATGGAAGTCTGACAGGTTCTAAAACGTTATGCTTCATTTTGATGTATCATTATCCGAATCAATTGTATTCTCCTTTAACTCGATCTATTTCGTCGTGGTACCGGCACACGGAGTGAGCTCGTTTGCTCGACCGCACAAACTCTCGATCATAATGACGCCTGGTATCATGGCAAGATCGATCCCTAAATCTATACGGTACTGAGATCAGATTAGTGTATCGATCAGGCCTGATGATTATTGATGAGCTCTAAGTGTGCAAGCTCTCTCTTGAGGCGAGGGCCCTTTCCCTCATCGTTTCACCTGTGGTACCGGTACTTGGGTCGCCGGATTGAAGTTGCGTTTTCTTGGTGGTGAGTACTCGTAAATCGCCCAGGGGGACGAAAATCCTTCTGCGCCACTCCCTACCCTTGAAGTCATGCTACCCTCTGTTAAAAGCCATGGTGTCCCCATAGGAAGGAAGCTATCTCTTTCGGGCCTCTGGTCTCCGCATTCGGAGACGAGAAACCCCGAGAAGGAACAATGTTTACCCGACGCGGTATAGCTTGAGCGAGCTAGAGCCACTATATCTCTTTACTATACTTATAACTATGGCGACGTGGCGTTCGTGACTTTATTAACTTGCTTAGCTAAGCCCATCGTAGTTTAGCTCTACTGCTTATGTGAAAATATGTAGTGTATGCACGGGTAAACACGGCGCCGGTATCACAAGTAGCGCGGGCTATTGGGCCACTACTGAGCACCGTGCCTGTAGTACTTGTATGGTAGTCCTCTGTGTGCGTATCGCACGAGTTCTACTCGTATTTCATGATTGCTGAAACGCACTTTTACGCCGGTTTTGATTCACAAGTTGGTAACAATGAATACGGTAATTTTGAGTGGAGAGAATGCGGTCAGAGAGCCCCCCCAAGGTCCGATGGATGGTGCTTGGTTTGGATCCCACATCCCCCTAATCGCTTAACCGCCTAGCACTACCCTTCTGCACTATTTGTGCTGGCGGTTTAGAGGGGTACTGAGCAGCGCCGGTACAAGTAGATAAATTACTAACAATGGTTTGAGAGGTTTGGAAACTCTCGAAGCACAAATCATGTGGCTACAGGAACATTTGTGGCGCCCGCCCTCGGTTGCCCGGCCAACCCTATACCCTTGGTTTGCATACACAACACGCGAAAATCTTAGACAAGCAACAGTGAGGGTCTGTTTATCCTTCCCCGGGAGAGCAGGTGTTATCTGCGATTTATACCGTCTGCACACCTCCCTATCTCGCCACATATCTTTATCCAACTTTTTGTAGATTGTTTTTACATCTTAGGCCTCCAGCACAAGACTAGACAAATCCTTTTAATTTTTCCACGTCTAACAGCCCTCTTCGCCCTTTTAACTATAACATTCCTCATACACAATGAGTTCACCACCTCCGAGTCCTCTGCATAGGCCTCAAGCTACTCCGACGCCCTCCTCATCGATTTCCGGTCCCTATGGACCCAAGAATACTTTAGATAAAGGTACCCCACCAGGATTCGCCGCTAGCAATAATCGCTTTCATGAGCCCCCAACATTCGGCTCAACGACTCCCATGAAGTCAACTATTGCATCAATATCAGGGACTCAGGCTAGTACTGCGGTAGATCGAAGGCTAGACTATGGAACAAGCAAGGGTGATTCGGGGTCAGACTATACTAAGCACGATGGGCATAGGAATGAGCAGAGACATCCAGAAGAACGTAAGCACTTGAGTTTCCTTTTGTGGGACTGAGAGATTCACTTGTCCCTCTTGCTATTTTCCTGTGGGTCCGAAGTTCTTGACTGACTTTTTTGGCAGCGGCTCACCGACATGTTCCTGCTGTGATTGCCAGAAGGAGTGAGTTTATGCAGCCTTTGCCTCTCGGTGGGCCTAAAGACGCCTGGAGACCTCGCAAACCGACAAACCCAACCAGTGCGATTGATCTTACAGCCATCGATGATCAGCTTCCTGTCGTCATTCCTCGTCCTCAAGGTGCCCCTAGCTTTCATTCTACCTATCGGGGGGCCCCTTCGGGTTCTGGGTTTACATCTATCAATCAAGGCGCACAGAATGTAGTTGACCTTACTAAACAGAGTAGACGCTTCCCGCCTACGTTTTCTATACCTGGAGGGGGCGCCATTCCAGGCGCGGATGGGACATATTATGGTGGGACGTATGTCGACCATGAGAAAACTACCGAGAGTATCAAGGAGCTTCTGGAGGGGATTAATGATTTTCCTACGACCAAAAGAGGCCGAAGAAAGAAGTCTAAGAAGGTCGTCGCCGATGAAGACAAGGAACTGACTGAACTAATGAAGGAAATTAATACCAAGGAAGATAGCGAACCAGCATCGGAAGGGGGTGCGGGAGTGAAGGCGGAAGTTAGGGGGGAGGAGGAAGGGGAAGGGGAGGAGGAGGGGGAGGAAGAGGAGGAAGAGGAGGAGGAAGAGGAGGAGGATATGAGTGTGGTTGATGGCTTGAATGTCACGCTTCTTCCCCACCAGATCCGTGGTTTGGCTTTTCTACTTACTCGGGAAGAGGGGAAAGCAAGAGGTGGTATTCTTGCGGATGATGTGAGTGCTGCTCTCCTGGCTCTTAGGTTCGTAAGCTGATAGCGGTGATAGATGGGTCTTGGGAAGACTATTCAGTCGATTTCGCTCATTCTCTCACATCCGCATCCGAACCACCCGCTTAATGGCTCTAGTTTTGCGCTTTCGCCTCAGTCGAAGAAAGCTGCTGCGAAATTGCCCTCTGATCTTGAGAAAGGAACTCTTGTTGTTGCTCCATTAGCTCTTATCAAGCAATGGGAGGCAGAAATTGCGAGAAGGACAACCGATTCCCATAGAATGCGTGTTTGTGTTCACCATGGCCCTTCCCGTGCTAAAGATCCAAGTAAACTACGGCGATATGATGTTGTGATCACGACCTACGATGTTGTTCGCTCTGAACATAAGGATTCCTCCTTTGCCGAGGGGAGTGATGGGCATGGACAGCAGGTCGGATGTTTCGGTTTACGTTGGTGGAGAATTATACTTGACGAAGCTCACACGATCAAAAACAGACTCGCCAAAGGCTCACTCGCCGCTTGCGCACTAAGGGCCAGGTACCGTTGGTGTCTTACAGGAACACCCCTGCAAAACAAAATCGAGGAGCTTCAGAGTCTTATTAAATTCTTGAGGGTTGCCCCATTTGACGATCTTGCAGTTTGGAAGGAGCAAATTGCCAGGCCAATGGCCCAGGGTCGCGAGGGCGTTGCATTGGAGAGACTCAAAGTAGTTTTGGGGGCAATTATGCTTCGTAGGACCAAAGATGTCCTCAGGAAAGACGGCGAAAAACTTGAGGCGGAAGGCGGCCAGAGTAGGATGAAGCTTCCCGCGAGAAAGATGGAAAAGGTCGCCGTTCACTTCGACGCACGGGAAAAGGAATTCTATGAAAAGCTAGAAACTAGGACAGAGGAGAACTTGGAGAAAATGTTGAGTGGGTTTGGAGCTGTTGGCGGCAAGGGTCTTGGTGGTGTGAACATGACGAGTGCTTTACTTTTACTGCTGAGGTTACGGCAAGGTAAATTCCCTCGAGATGCCATTTAAGTTTCAATGCTAATGAGTATATAGCTTGTAATCATCCACAGCTCGTGGCGGGAAAGATTCACAAAGATAAAGAATCTGGGCTTGGTTTGGCTACACCTCGTAAGAGGTCAAGCAAGCCAGCCACGGCTGTTGATGATGTATTGGATGACGAACTGGCTGGGTTACTTGGTGGGCTTAGTGTTGATGCCAAAAAGTGCGACGTCTGTTTTTCAGATTTGACAAGGGAGGAATCACAACGCGGCGAGGCAAGATGCGCCCATTGCCGGGCGGATCTGGATGAGCTCTCAAGATCTGCTAAGAAGGCAAAGAGAAAGGAGAAGATTAAGGCGAAAAAGGTGAATAATAGGAGGAGACCAATCGTCCTCGATAGTGATGACGAACGAGACGAACCCGAACCAGAAGGTCATGCAGAAGAGGACGATGAAGAGGACGATGAAGGGAGTCAAGCTGAAGAAGGAACAGATACATCAGATGAGGATGATGACATTCGACCAAGAACTCGTAAAATCCACAGCCTCATCGGTGATGAGGGCGAAGAGGCGTCTGAGGAGGAGTCTGAGGAGGATTATCCTAACCCCACCATCTCTACGAAGATTAGGTATCTTTTGGCTGTACTGAGGAAGGAACTTAAGTTGAAGAACAAGACTATCGTCTTCAGCCAATTCACTAGTATGCTAGATCTTATCGAACCTTTCCTACATAGGAATGGAATTGCGTTTACTCGGTATGACGGGAGCATGAAAAACGACGATAGGGAAGCCAGTCTAAGAAGGCTGAGGGGAGAGGGAGAGTACGCACCATCGCCCGGGAAAGAAGATAGAAGCTGGTGCGGGGTCTTGTTATGCAGCTTGAAGTGCGGTGCGTTAGGATTGAACTTGACTGCAGCTTGTAGAGTGGTTATACTAGAGCCATTTTGGAATCCGGTTTGTTTTCCTATAGCCCTATTTGTGTCAGTGCTGATCGCCGGATACAGTTTGTCGAAGAGCAAGCCATCGATCGAGTTCATCGTATTGGCCAAGAAACTGATGTGGTCGTTTACAAAATTACCGTTGCCGGCTCAGTAGAAGAACGTATCCTTCAACTCCAAGATCAGAAAAGAGAGCTTGCAAAGGCGGCCTTCGGAGATGGTGACGGCGGCCTCGGAAATGCTAAGGCAGCCAAATTGAGTATGAAGGATATCCTGTATCTTTTCAGGCGTGATGCTGAAGGAGTCAATTCATCCGCTGAGGCGCGGGGTTTGGGCGCTCGCACCAAAATCTTGGGCAAGGGTCCTAGCAGAGGAGGAGACGGCGAGAGGGGCGTTGGCTATACTCGGGAGGTGCCGGGGAGATATGTTATCCCGAGTGCTGAAGAGGAGCGAGAGAGAAAGAGGGTGAATGAGATCTCTAACCCTTATGGTAGGAGGTAGTTGTTTATTTGTTTGTTGCTTTAGCTTTGTTACATCTGGGCTGGAACAATGCACGGGTATGGTTACGCTTTTACAATATTATTGGAAATTAACGTTCTCAGCTATGTGAAACTCTTGGAGACGCCCGCGATGAAGTTATGAGCTATTCCCGTTTGATTACTGCACAACAGAAACCTTTGCCGATCAAGGAGCTCCATCCCAACACAATCAGGACTTGGCAAAAATTCTCGCAGCGTGCGCCCATCCACGCACGATCACTCGATGACACGCCTCGTGGGAGGAACAAACGACAGGCCACATGCCACCACTATAATATAGCGACGAAGTGTTAAGCACGTGCTCCTCTACATGATCCGAGAGCCGCTCGCTATAGTCCTGCCTTTCTGCCCAGCCGGACTCAATTGCTTCTTTCCTCAGGGCGTCCCTAGAACACTGCCAGAACATGATAATATATTGTGATAATATTATCATAGCACCTCAGTATCATACATTTATTCGAGTATAATACCACGGGGAGCACTTTCTACTGAAAGGAGGGGTAGCGCATTGGAAGACTTCCGGATTGCCTCGCTGGGGTTTATTTTCTTACTCCCTTTGTTTTTATTATTTTATTTTTTACTCTTCTCTCGTTTTGGTGTCTCATGAGAATAACGGGGGCCGTTGATCGCGGCTACACTGGCTTAAAATAAGAAAGGATACCTTGTAAAGGGTCTTAGCTCGATTTACCCTTTCGAAATACTAGGAGTGAGATGGCTTCTAATGGGAGTACAGTACATGGGGTATTTTTTTTTTTTTAGAGATTGGTTACAGAAGGATATCCCAAGAAGTATGATTCCTGAGGTCCTTTGGGATGAATTATATATATACTGTGCTTGCCTTTTTTCCTTTAATCTTTCCAGGTGCTTATTTTTGCGATAGGACTGCGGATCGGATAGGTTGAGTTGGCAAATATTCTCGCTTCGCCGGGATGTTTGAAGGCATAAGTACTGTATCCGGGGATATGTTTCCGTGCGCTCTAGCATCAATCCCGGCGGTAATGTGTATCATACAAAGGCATCCCCCCGGACACCGCCTCAGTTTATTAGATTTTCTGAGCCTAGATAGCTCAGAACCTAGAAATATTGTTGTGAGGCTCTTAGCCAACTTATTTGATTCTCTCACTAGTTGGGGCGGGGGAAGCTTTTACGGGATAATTAACCAGTCTGTTTTTGGGGGTTAGCCTTTGCATAAAAAGTTCCACAAACCCGAGGAGGCACCTTACTGAACCCACGCATTACAACTCCGAGGAGCTATTACGGGTGGCCGGTAAGGATGGCAATTCTGGAAACTGTCATGCGCTACTTTAATGAGTGGTTAACTTAAGCTGGCGGTTTTCGGCTCTATCATTTGAATTGTGTCCATACTAGTACTGTTGGGGAGGCAGTACTGCTCCATTCATTGTTGAAAGTCGAGTTGCATGAGAGACCTATTTATATTGAGTAGCTGTATGAGGGAGTGGGGGCCATAGGGATATGCAAGCTTCCGGCCGGGGTGGTTGTGAAGGGGGGGTATCAGTAGTTTAATCGTCATTGTCTTTTCGTTCCTTCCATCGTGAGAACAAGGCCCGCGAAGGTTTTTTTTCTGTGCTGGTTCTTGTTGCTTCTAGATAAGTATTCCTTATGCGCCGTAGTGACCAAAATCCGTGCGGAAAAATGTTTTGAGATTGATGTAAGTGTGATACTAGTCAATGCAAAACCAATAGGGAGTCTCGGGCCCCCGATTCTCAGCCAATATCTATCTATACTCGTATAGAAGCTCAGTGGAGTATGGCGAGGTGTGCTGCAGCATCCCATGGCTTAATATCAACACCTGAGCCCACCGCTAGTTTGGGAATACACTATTTATACCAAAATCACTCTTTCCCAGAAGGTAAAACTGTGGTGGGGAAAACCGTAAGGTTCTCCCGGCTTTTAAAGCTTCCAACACGGACCGGCACTTCTCTTGCTCAATCGTGCCCAAACTCAGCCGTGAATTGTCTTCCTCCTTCCTCTACTTCTGAACCCGCCTGCAGCAAACCGCCCTTTAGCCAGGACACATCACATGCCTCATCTCTTCCGTGTGCGGCCAATGAAGAGCTATGAACCGGTCTAGGCTAGATATTAACTAGGTGATTAAGAGTGCCGGGTTCTGGTTTCACATGCCTGTATCATACATTGAGTGCCGTTGTTCCCAATTGCAGGTTTGGAAGAGGGCGAGTTATCCGAGTTCGTGCTGGCCGGAGGACTTGAGTGTGGGGCATGTGCTGTATGTAGTATTCCATGTCGTCGGTGCCCGGTTCCGCAGCAGCTCGGTGGGCTCCTGGTGGTACTGGAGGGGTAGCGGTGATACAGTTCTGGTACGTACCATAGTGGTAGTACCATTCCGAGCGGTCTGGCTGTCCCCCAGGGTGTGATCGCGGATGGTGCCCTGGAGCTCAGGGGTCCAAGACTTGTATCTGGGAATTTGTATCTGAAAGTACGACCATTGTTACACAACCGCCCAGCAAGGGGGAAAAAACCGCTGTCTCCGCCAAGTGCTCTATACCAGATACAAGTACAAATACTGGCTCCCGGGTGTCAAAGTAATACTAACGACTGCACATGTAGGGGTACAGTGGAGGACTCGGTGTGTAGGGGGGAATCCACTGGGTTTTTTTGCATGATACTTTCCATATCTCGGAGGAGTGGATGTCTCGCTATCGGGTATAGTACTTAAGGCCCTGCACGGCATGCCGCAAAAATTGCAATTTTTCCACTTTAATGCAATTTTTTTTACCATGTAGATATATTTAAATCGGGCCCCGCACGGCATGCCACAAAAATTGTATTTTTTCAAATAGTATGACAATTTTTCAAAATTGAGAATTTTATCTGATGTAGATATAGATATATCAAATCCAATATTCAGCATTCAAGCCTGCCACAACCTCTGTCCAAACAGACTTCTTCTTGAAACCATTTTCCAGTCTATCACCTCTTTGAACCCTCTCCAATAAATCTTCAATCAGAAAGGTTTCTGATGAAAGTACCCATACACTGTTCCCCATCGTGTTACTATTTCCACTATTAGAATTACTGTCTTTAGTATTATTTAAGAAGGAGGAAAAGTACAGACCTTGCACAGCTGGAGGCCAAGAATAATAGGGAAGATGAATATAGGAATTAGATTGAAGCTGTGGTTGATTAAAAGAGTGGCATAGTTGTGAAGTTTGGGGTGTAGTGAAATGAGCTAAAGGAATTCATATAGGGGAAAGAATAAACAAAAAAGCTACAAAGAAAATTTTATATCAATTAGGTACAACCCTACCTAATATGATTGTTTACATTAGAGTAACAGACAATTTCCAAAAAAAATAGTGGTGTTACTGAGCAGCAATTTTTTCAGAAAAATACTATTTTTCCATTTCGGAATATATTCCATTTTCAGCTTTTATTGTAATTTTTTAAAATTGGTACATGCCGTGCAGGGCCTAAACCAGTAAATAGGCCGACTTCTCGAGAGGCCAGTTTGAAGGTAATACAGCTACTCGTGATTCACATTTGTTCAATATTGAGGGATTTATTACTGTCAGGACCGCAGCAGATAGGGTAGAATTTTAATTCTCCATTCTCTTCGGAGGGTGTTTTCCTTTTTTCCCTTTCCTTTCTCCTGTTACAGTGGGGTACCCGGATTAACTGGAAAATCTCCATGGTACCAGCCTGGGGTAACTGGGTGCAACCACCCCAAGGAGCTAGTAACTTAGCCACGGAAAACTCAGGCTGGAATACTGGTAAAGGCCCCATATCTAAAAAAGAATAAATGCCAATGACAATATTTTGTAGCAATGATGCTTCCTCTAAAACGAATCAACAATTTGACTTCTTTTGGTTCTCGGATCTTGCTCTTGTATTCCAAGATACTCCCGATGGTATGCAGGACCGGTCGATTGAGATCCTGTGATGTGCTGAGCCACCACGCGATATTAGACGATTATTCTACGAAAGAGCAACCGAACAAACCATAGAAAGTACCATCTTGAGAGCTGAACTTGAGCGGGGGAGTGCCGAGGCCAAGTTACGAAAGCAAGGGGAGAAGGCGGACGATCACCTACCCAAAGTTAAGCTTGAGTACCCGCAAATGAGGGAGACCTCAATAATCATGGCTGGTCAGGCATATCAATGGAATATAAAAACTGAGCGGCTCCGGGCTACTGGAAACAGCCGTTTGCCCCCAGGAGTACGGGAAACCGTTGCGGGTTGGGGTAAAAATACGCCATGATTAGAGCCAATAAGTCCCCCAGCTTGGTGGACTCCGCTTCCATCTCTTCCTCGTGATGATTATCCTAGTCGGCTACCGCCATCGCATCCTCCTGCTCATTCTCCTACTCAAATTGCTTATCAACCATTGACATCCTTGTCGGCGCCGTTATCATCAGCAAATTCCCCTCCATAAAGATCGCCATCTTCAACCGCCCTCACCTCCATCTCACTATCCTCTCTCCCTTCTCCGACAGCTCTGGCTCCTTCTATAATCTTGCCATACTCCTTTCCGGTCTTTAGACCCAATGCCTGGATAGCCTGCTGAGAAGCCTTAGGCCCTGTTTGGCAAAAATGGAGCCATTTAATTTCCCCATACAAAGCAACCATTTCCTTCCATTTCAGCTTTTTGGATCCCAACTGGTGTTTGTCAAATCAGAAACCTATTGACCATTCCATTCTGATAACCAAACAGAACCATTTCAAATAGAACTGTTCTTCCCTAAACCCTAATAAAATGAAGTTTTTCATATCTGTTTAAAATATAGTTTAAGAAATTGTATAATAATATTATCATAGGATAATATCATACATGAGAAATCCATTTATTAATAGTTCATACTCAGTTTCCCTACCAGAAGCTATCCAACAATAAGGATTACCAATTTTGTACCGCAATTGTACAATGACACATACAAATGGCAATCAGTGCTTTAGTCTGTAATCAATTATTTCTTTCAAACCAGC